CACTATGTAAATATTTGTATTTAAGTACTGACAAGGCTGTCAAAGAATAAAAAAAAAAAAAAAAAAAAAAAAAAAAATATCTGATTTACACCAACCAATCAGACAATAGTATAACAAATCTAATTTATTCTTATAACTTCCAATTAGTCTAGTAGTTAAAAAATTGATATTTTTAGAAACAATACTTTAACAGCATAGCAGAAGTTTGTTTTGATTGGCTAATATTAGGATAAATATGATAAATATAATTGGCAATGATCTTTTTTTTATATAGTTAATTGTAATTTTTTAAAGTACTTTTAATAGTAAAAATTATTATATTATATAAAACTTTTTTTTGTAATACAAATTGTAAAAATGAACTTAAGTCATTGGTAGTTTATCTTTAAACTTATTGTTTTTTAACCTGAGATGCAATAAGATGCAGTAGTTCTAAAAACTAGATAAGAGGTGAATATTTTGAAAGACCAGAAGGTGGTTCAGTAGTCTAAACAATTGGTAAATTAAAATTAAAAGATTTTGCTTTAACTAGTTTGTTTGTATTTTTACAAGTAAAAGTATTATTTTTGAACTATTATTCTAAACTATATTTTAATATTTTTGATTATAATTTATTTAGATATAAGTATAGTTTGTGAATATAATGTTTATAATACAATAAGTAATAGTAATAGTAGTGTTAGAAATAGTTATGTATGCATCATTTAGTAGACATTTATATGTGAAAAAAAATAAAAAAACTCTTGTAAAATCTAAATTAAAGTTGTTAATATAAAACCAAATTAGTATATTGTAAATTTATAATATGTCTTTAGAGTGTTTTTTAAAAGTTCTAAAATTTTTGTCTGGGATTAGCCAGTACTCTATCCGGGGTATCTTAACAACCAATCAAAACGAACTTCACTTTAACTAAACAATATTTATACCAAAATCGCGACAATCTGTAAACATATTGTTAAATATGATTGGTCAATTATCGCGTTTACAAGTTTATGTTATAAATAGGCGATCAGTCTGCGAAAAAAAATCTTTGCAACGTTCCAAGCTTCTTTGACCCTTGAGCGTTTTCAAAACGTTTGCACCGTATTTTTAACCTTAACCCTTTCTTACAAAGATTGTCCTTTCCACTGTATTTAGTATTTCGAGCTAATCACCTAACTGGACGAGCAGGTGCTCTGGTAAAAGATTTAAATCTGAAGAAATGGATTAAGGCTAATTAGTGTTCTACACTAACCGCTCAATTAGACAAGCGGGTGTTCTAGTATAGTTGTAATTCTGAATAAACCGGGTGTGTCTTTAGTATTCTGACTAAGTTATAAATATAAGGAACTGAAGTTATATTGGCCTCACCAGTTTTCCAGTATTCTGCGCTAACCACCAAACTAGACGAGTGGGCTTCTAGTAAGGTTGTCTTAATTCAAAGCTCCAATCTTTGTCTGGTAAATGCTTTTTCCCAATCTCTCTTTGGGTCTTTATAACCGTAGTTTTCCAGATTAAATATTAGAAACCGGCGTACTGGTGCGACATTCCCTCATTACTAGTTACATATGAAAAATTCTACTGGGAGTTAGCTCCGCTTAATTCGGTGTGTTTTTTATATGAGAAGCTTATATGAGTGCCGCCAAGGGAAAACCTACAAGTCGTACTTATTGTATATTTGCTTTTAATAAAAATATTTTAAAATCAGGCAATTTAATACCTATAATTTAATATCATTTGAATCATCAAAGATAGTAAAATTTTGAAAAAGACTAAAAAACGACAAAGTAATGAAAACAACACAAGTTTAGTATCAGAAGATAGTAAAATTTTGAAAAAGACTAAAAAACGACAAAGTAATGAAAACAACACAAGTTTAATAAAGAAAGATAGAAGAAAATGATAAAATCTTATGGACGGATTTGAACATTTTATAAAATCTACATTTATTCGAATGTATAAATGATTTTAAAATACATCGTTTTTACGAACATGTAGCCGTTGCAGAAAGCGATACCCGGTTTTTCAAAGAAAGTATATACACATTTAAAAAACATAAGATTGTAAATCGTGTCCAAAATTGATACAAAATTGTAGTTAAAATTATGATCAATCATTTTGAAGTTGTATGTACTGTACAGTACGTATGTAAAATAAATTATATCTGATATCTAAGAAATTTTAGAAAACTAAAAAAATACATCACTTTCGTAAACATTTTATATTCTAAAAATACATATAAAACACCCTCCACATAAAGTACTTATCCCTTGAACAATCCCTAAAATCCCTCGTATAATTTCAATTCCACAATTAAATTTATAAACATACCGATTAAATAAACCGAAATTAAATAATATCCCCAAGCGCGGGACATGCGATATTCATTCCAAGGTACGTATATAAGAGCAGAAAATAATGTTATCAACAAACTAATTGATGATACAACTAATGTTGGTTCAATTTCAATTTTATAAGGAATGCCAGTTTTGGCAATCACATAAGTACCACTCAAACCAATGCCTAAAAGAATATCTAATATTATATATAAACAATAATGAGTTCATTAAATCGCAAAATTTGTCAAATCAAAATTTGTGAACAAGATATAAATGAACATACTCAGCATTGGACCACCAAAGCATGCACTCATAGCCATCATAGGGCATCCCGCTTTTGCGATAGAGATATTGGCAACAAAATCACCAAGACTACTACCCTTTAAATAAGGAATATAAAGAAATATATTAATTAAAATATATGAAATGATTTGGTATAGACAAAATTTCTTAATTTGTAAACAATTCAACCAACCATCGCAAATATGGTTAGACCAAGAATAGCATCACTTAATCCCATAATTAAACCCAAAGTCTACGGTCAAAAAAAAATAAAATAACCAAATTAAAAAGTTTATACTTAAAAATTTATGTTTCCTACACATGGTACAGTATCTCACCTGTAACACACCAACAACTTCGTTAGCCAAGAGATAAATCCACACAATTGCGACACCAAATCCCATAAAACTTAGCAATAAATAATACTTTGGAGGCTCATCGTCGCTCGTAGTAAAAAAGCAAACCATGGATAACGAGACACCAACAATAAATGCATAAAATATAGAAATAAGTAATTCATCATCTGCAATTCAATGTCGCAACAATGTTAGCCAAATATAATTAGCACAGACTCTTAAATCATAAAAAAAAAAAAAAACGATACTGACTGAATAAAACCATTGAGACGAAAATAGGTGCAAGAAAAAATTGAACTATAGTTAGCCAACGATTCCATCCGTTAAAGCGCTCACTCTCAGGTTCGTCAACAATAACTGAATCACGATCATCATTGACAATAATAGAAGGGGTGTCAAAATGTCGTACTTGATTATTATTATCATTTTTTTTTTTTTCTTGTAAGGATACGTCCTCAAATTCCACAACAGGAAGCGTAAGCTTGAGTACAAGTATCGTTGGAAAAGCCATCAAAGCAGTAAGTTTTGCAACCAATGACTTTTCAGCGAACCCTGTGAGTGAAGGAAAAAGAGTGTTTTGTACTTTTTCCCAAATAGTTATTGGTGATGACACCTGTAGCGGTACTAACAATGGGGACGATGCTGTTGTGACTATGGGTGAATGCATAGGTGACGAATGTATTGACATATCAGGGAAAAAGCGTTGGTTGGTTTCTACTGATGATGTCGGTATTTGGGATGTTTCATGTAAAGGGGACATGTCTGACGGGGATAGATTTAATGGTGAAGCATATATTTGGGCTGGTGGTGATAAAGACATTGATCTCCTATTAGGAGTTCGTGGAATAGTCAAGAACAGTGGTGTATTGGGCATACTTAATGCGTTTGGAGGAGAGAGATATGTAGAAGAGTTATCTTGTGTTGAATTTAAAGATCCTTCAATATTGGTCCACGATCTCCTAAATGAAGGTGCTCTATTTCGTTCCAATGATCTCGATCTCATACTATTACCCGATTTAAGAGAATTAACCACATCTCGAAACTAAGATTTAAATTTTAGGCAAAAAAAAAATAATTATTACAAGGATAAAATATATATAACAGTTAAAGTAACTAAGTATTATATATGCAAATAAGCTGTTAATGGAATATTACACTACTCTAGAGTATTCTAGGAGTATAACCCATGTGGTTTATATGCTATACCTTTCCAGATTATTATAAAAGCTAAATGGAGTGATTTATACTCAGAGCTACTATTAATATCATTCTGGATTAAAAATATAACTAATTCTTGACCAAATATTGTATATTAAAAAATTTTAATATTATAGCATTAGAAGTTGCACCAGATATCAAAATATACTGTAAATTAATTCGGAGAAACAAACATATTTTGGATAAAACCATTAAAGTTTGGTTTAATAGTTACTCTGACAGAGTATATCCACACCACTTCGGATCACTCTATTAACAGCCCTGCATGCAAAGAACAACAGCATAATAATTTGTGCACATTATACCTCTATTGCTCTGAATAATGAAGGCCTACGATTGATTGTCATAGGCCTTGTAGAACCACCATGTTGATGTTTAGATTGATCTATTACATCATTTGCGGATGTAAATGAGTTTGGTGAGCGACAAGGTAGTCTCTCAAAGTTGTCATATGGTAATAAAGGAGGCAATGGTATTGGTGGAATTGTCCGATTTGTATAATCAAGACCGCGTTCACCTTCTGGTAACAGAAGTTCCATCTCATCATAAGGCTCATAGCCGTAGGCGTCTTGATTTTCTAAGGGAATATTTAATAATAAACATATAGCTCAAAAAAACCAAATTAAGATCATTTAAATTTATAACTTTACCAAGCACTTCAGGCGTTTTAGAGTCCTCATTTATTATTATAGGGGAGGCTAATTCATTTTGTTCCAACCATCTTTTTTTTTTCTTCTTTTTTACAATCCAGTTTCCTACAAGCACTACTGTAACATAGATAACGTAGAATAATACCAAGATTATGCTCTCCCACAAATATATGTACCCATCCCCAATAATAAAAAGAGTAAATGCGATCGCTGCAGAAAAAAAAATCACGTCTCGCAGAAATGGGGCTTTTGTAACACGAAATGGAGTTATAACTGCCATGGAACCGACGACTACAGATGTTATGAAATTCGCGGCTCCAATAAGCTCACCGATAGCTAACGGACCAGAATCATGCGTCATTGCACTAAAAGTACTAAAAAGATCCGGTGACCCATTACCAAATGCCAAGAAAGTAACTCCAGCCTTTATAATTCATTGAGTGAAACAAATGTTACGAAACCGCTTAGTAATCCGAACTAATAATTAATGGTAATATATTTTAACATTTACCATACTTTCGGATAGCTTCAATTTTAATGCAATCGTGCTTAGATTTGGACAAAAGAAATCAGAAGCTGCAATGCTAATGAAGCCGAACAAGAAAAGGAGCCACATAAACTGTTCATTATTTTGTATTATAATGAATCAATAAATATGTGTGTTGATAGTCAAAAAGTAAATTAATTGATATCATTCTTTACCAGAATGAGAGTATACATATAGTCAGTATTGTATGGTCTGTACAGTGATTACTGGTAATAAATGTAATGCGTGCGCTACGTACAGTACATACCAATCGAGGATGCAGTCACATGAACCTCGACCTCCTGATCTGTATTTTATTTTGACGCATGCAAGATAAATTCCATTCGTTTTATTTGCAATCATATTTTGACAAAAAATAAAGTTAGTCTCTATGCTAAGAAAACATGATAAACATTATTACACGTTCTCGTTATAGTGAATCCTCAGATTGAGAAAAAATATTTGTTACAGCCTATATCGAAAGAAACTATATAAACAGTTAACTTTCTCCATAACAAATGGACGTAAGGAAAAGTTTTTTATATTTTCTTAAGAACCATAACTCTTTATACCGAATTAATATAAAATTTAAAATTTTTATTACATTATTTCCAGAGTTCATTATAGAGATGTTCGTTATAAAAAAGTTGGATCTATACCTAGTTTAATAATTCCGTAATTTAAATCTTCACTATATCGAATCTTCACTGTGTCGAGAGTTTTCTTCTTCCCGTTATTTAATCGGGAATATTATTCATAATCTAATTCAAGTTTTACAATTCTTTGATCTGTTCGTGATTAAATTCTCTCGTGAAGCAACCATTCGTCTTTATATCCAATGAATCACAATTAACTATCGCAATCAGAACACTATCACTAAATTAAATATACTGGCAATGAATGCCTTTCAAAAAGATGTTTTTGCATTATTATAAAGTTCCTACCTACCTCAGTAGCTAAAATCCTATAATCGGGAATGGTGTCGTAAATAATACTCGAGTTCACACATTGTTTCCACAAGAAACTAACGCAGTTGAAAAAAGAAATACAGGGAAGTTTCAAGAACACGGAACCCAGTGATTATCACGAATTATCCCCTCGATATAATCACATATTGATTTTGATTGGTCGGAAAAATGTAAACAAATGTCAGGTGACAACTTCTAATAGCTAAGTGATGGCGCGGTCCCGTGACTAATTCAAAAACAATGATATCTTAATTTTCATCTAAAAATTAATGTTTGCATTAATGAGTTTTTTGTGTTCTGTTTTTTTTTTCGCCTTTATTTTTTTACTTCGCATTTGTATGTTACACACTGCCATCACTATTTTACTCAATTTTTCGCTTTGCATAATATAAAATCAGAAACTGTGCTGATTTCTCTATCAGCATATTAAGAATTTTTTTTAAAAAAAACCATTAAAAAAAGAGGCCGGTGGGTAATGCAAAATGAAAAATCAACTTTGCACTTAAACTTTGTGACATTGTCTAGAACAAGTAGATCTCATTTTTTCAACAGCCATTTAACCGACATCATGTGAATATATAAATAGTAAATTGTCACCCATATGATGTTGGTTAAATGATGCAATTAATTAATAAATATAAACAAACAAATAATTTATTTTTAAATAACATCACGAATATCATAGCATATTATGTATATATAAATTATTAAATAAGTTCAATTAATTTATTTATTTTAATAAATATAATCTTACGAATAAATTAAAAGGCTATTTAAATCATGCTACGCTTATACACATAATGCGATTAAAAATATTTAATTTGATATGTGAATTTAATAAATTTGCAGTATAAATAATCACCCTGAATTTATTTATTTTAATAAATATATCACGAATATAATGAAATAAAAATTATTGAACTCAATGATACGCTTATGCACATAACCCAATTAACATATATAATTTGATATATGAATTAAATAAATTAACATAAAATAATCTTATTAATTTTTTTTATTTATTTAAATATAATATCACGAATAATAAATTAAAAAATTAATAAATTCAATATCACGCTTATGCACATAATACAATCAACTAGGAATTATTAATGAATCTCCTTAATATAACTTTCTGGCAAAATTAATATTCGTACATAATGATTTAGTTCTAAGTAGTGATGCAGTAAAATCATCCCAATGATGTTACGGTTTAAGCTGTAACATCATTGAAATGATTTTATCGAATCACTAGTTCTAAGCATTAAAAATCAAATTAATTTAATCAATTCAAATGCATAACGAATTCGTAAAGATATCAAAAAAAAAAAAAAAAAAAAAATACTTCTATTGCATTTCAATACTTCTGGATATCTTTATAAAAAGAAATAGCTATCGTCTTTGAATTGGCACCAATTTTCATCTTTATTATAAATCGTTCAAATCTAATTAAAAAAAAAATATGGCAGAAAGTAAAGAATCATCATCATCTTCACCTATATTAGTAAAAACCTACTATGATATCTATAATAATACCCAAACCACAGAACAGGCTGTACTTTTCTTTGAAGATCTTGGTATTCTTCCTCGAGTACGTTTCTGCTCTAAATGCGAAAGCCCCATGCATAAGATAAAAGACTGTTCTCGTAAAGATAATTATAAATGGATCTGCACTTCAAGAACAGCATGTAAATCTTTCGCGATCAGGAACATGGCTAGCAAAATCCAAACCTTCACTTGATCAAATTGCCAAAATTGTATTTTGCTGGTCACATAAATTACCTCAAAAATTTGCTGTATGTGAAACAGGTCTTAGTGCTCAAACTATGGTCGATTGGTATAACTTTTGTCGTGAAGTATGTTGCATCGTACTAATGAATCAAGAGTATAAAAAAATCGGAGGTGAAGGAAAAATTGTAGAAATTGATGAAAGTAAATTCGGTAAATGTAAGTATAATAAAAGAAAAAGGGTAGTAAAGCAGTGGGTTTTTGGAGGTGTTGAGAGAGGTTCGAACAAAATATTTTTGGTATGTGTTCCTGATCGTACAAAAGAAACGTTAACAAAAATTTTAGAGGAATATGTAGAAAAAGGAACTACAATATATAGTAATTGTTAGGCAGCTTACCAGACTGAAGATTTCGAAAAGCACGGATGGAAACATGGAACAGTTAACCATTCAAAAAAATTTAAAGACCCTGAAACAGGAGTTCATACGAATACAATTGAGTCAACCTGGCATGCAGTAAAGTCATCTCTTCCACGGTATGGAACAGTTAAGGACTTATATGATACTTATTTTTTCGACTATATGTGGAGGCGATGGTTTGTTAAAAATGACAGTAATGCATTTAACAAACTAGTAGAACATATAGTTTTATACTGTGAAATTGTGAAAGAGGTAATTAATTTTTTTTTTTTTAATAAAACAAATCAAACAAAATTTTAATTAATACTTACTTTTAAATATTTTAGGCAACTTCCACATGAAGCAATCCTAAATTTTCACTTTTTATTGAATAAATAAATAAATAAAATAAATAAATTAGAAAATTTCTTAATTTATACCAGCATATGAAACACGAGTATAGTTAATAAACCAATATAATAAAAAAAATTAAATCGAAATTATAGTTAGGATAAGGTTAAGGTAATAAAAAAAAATTAAATAGAAATTAAATTAGATTAAAGTTAGAATAGGGTTAGGGTAAGAGGTTTTGTTAGAACGCAAAAGGGTAATCTCATAAGTAGAAGTTTGAGTTATTACATGCATCTACCTTTCATATATTAGTGTAAAAAAGAAATTGACAATTAATCTATTTTTTAAATTATATTTCATATAACAATAATATAAGTGAACAAATTTATCTTCAAATATCCGTAGTTATATAATATTAAAAACCTAAATCGTTACAAGCTATATTTGTATTAAATATAACGATTGAAAAAAAAAAAAAAAAAAATTCATATTAAATTTCCACTTATCACAATACAAAGAACCAAACCCCAACAAATCGGGCATAACTCATTCATAAATTCTGAAATTGCACTAACAAAAAGTTTTCTTTAAGGATTTTTGGTATTAATGCTTAAGCAAAATTTTAAAGTATTGTTTTCATTGAATAATCAAGTGCTAAAGAAACTCAAAAAGCTGAGATAACTTAAAAAATTGTTATAACTTAACTTAAGCTTTACTTATAAGGCTGCCTTCGTCATGAAAGATTTTTTTGAGGTCTTTTGGGTTTTGGGTATCAATAATTATTCAGTTGTCAAAAATCAATCGATGATACATTTGATTAATAATCATCATTACACAAATATGATGTGATGTAATGTAATTACATCATATGTGATTATATCGAGAGATAATTCGTGATCATCACTGGGTTCCGTGTTCTTGAAATCTCCCGCTGAGTATCATGGTATAACAATTTATACTATATATACAGATATATATCGATATTGTTTGTAGGTTTTTTTTGTCAAAAAAAAGCTTTTTAAAAGTGCAATGACATACATAACTCTGAAAGAATCTGAAAGCCATTATAAATACTGATCTTGTTTTTTTGAGGATACGTATTAGACTTTTGAAATTAAATTTTACTATATAAGAAATATATAGTACAACAATAATATATATATATATTACATATATATTCTATATATTTTGGTATTAAATTCTTGAACCAGACCCAATAGATTTTCCTAAAATAGTGCTGGTGATATTACAACAATTACACAACCAAATCGGTTATTTTTTTTTATTCAATAGGCATACTTGTTTATTTGGTTGTTGTAATATCGCTAGTGCTATTTTAAAATCTCATAATATATCACTAGTGCTATTTTGGCTCTGAATTAAATGCGGAAAATTTAATTTTGATTGAAATAGGTGACGTGCTTGTTTTTAAATAAAGAGTGGAAGCACGGTGTAAGGTTTGTAATAAATGCAATCACCATTCACATCTGTATTGCAAAACATGCAAAAATATAGCGGATGGAATATATAAGCAATGTGAATG